AGCTGTCTCGCCAGCTAATTTTGGATGTACGGGAATGAACGGTTCAGATACACAGAGCCTGCCATCCAGAAAACCTTTGGAATCAAAATTTTTCGACGATTTCGGTCTTCGTATATCATTGGTACGGTTAAACTTCAGATTTGGCGTTGATCGCCACCCAATATCTGCAGCTGTCTCGCCATCTAATTTTGGACGTACGGGGATATTTGGCTCAGATACACAGAGCCTGCGGTCCAGAAAACCTTTGGAATCAACATTTTTCGACGATTCCGGTTTCCGTACATCGCTGGTGACCTGCTGAAACTTCAGATTCGGCGTTGATCGCCACCCAATATCTGCAGCTGTCTTGCCAGCTAATTTTGGACGTACGGGGATATTTGGCTCAAATACACAGAGCCTGCGGTCCAGAAAACCTTTGGAATCAACATTTTTCGACGATTCCGGTCTTCGTATATCATTGGTACAAAACTTCAGATTTGGCGTTGATCGCCATCCAATATCTGTCGATTTGGCTGAGGAATTTTCACACATCGCGGCCATGTTAGGCATAGATACACATCTATATGACATATTTATTTGATAATATTATATAGGCAGAATTAACGGAGAAGATTATACAGAAATACGTAGAAATGAAATGTATTCGTAATGAACACAAGAAATGAATATTGACAAGTGGTAACTATGTGACACAGATATGAATTGTAGATTTTTGAAACATTCACGTACATAGCAACGATATTATAGTTGTTTGTGTTGTTTTCTTAGAGCCAATATTAATAATGTTAATGAAGTTGAGAATTTCATAATGCTTTACCAAGAATTTTCGAAAACTAATTGGATTCGTGTTGGTCATCTTGACAATCCATCAAGGTAAGTAAAAATAGTTCTCATTATTTGATTAATATTAATGTATAAGACATTTTTTTTTTCAGAGTCATGTTTCATAAATATTGGGTATGCCAGCACAGTAAGGTGACTTCATTAACATTATTAATATTGGCTCTAAGAATCGAGGTCCTTTCATTTGATAGAACCGCAATGATATTATTATTTTTTAAGAACTTAATGAATTCATCCATTATGAATACAATATAATTGATTATTCAGAAATTCAGAAACAGAGAACTACCATCAACAAGTTAAATACCCAAACAACCAGAGCTTTAAACTAACCTAACTAGTGAAAATTCAAAATGCTAAGATGCTTTACAACTTAAAATTAAAAGTACAACTATAACGGAGATGTACAATTAAAGTTTAAACATGACAGCAAGTCAAAAATCAATTTAATATTCCTGTTGACAAATTAATAATAGCTGGTAGGTAGTCTGGTAGTCAATAAATAAACCATGTGACTATACTGTTATCAGTTTGATAAATTTAGATTATAATTTAGGAGCTATATCTACATATATTTTAGTGGCGACATAAATTAATTAATAATTAATAAACGAAGTAGGTACCAATATGTAAATAAGATAAACTTCTGTTTAAATTTTTGATATTTAGGAAGTCATGTTGTATATTCAGAGCTCAACTGATGTGCCATGTAGTACCTGCAGCGATTGTTCCCAGCTTTTTCACCTCTAAATACTGTGCATAGACAGAAATTTAACATGCGCCTCGCATGGTTATCATAGTAAAAAAAAATACTTTAAAATATGTTGAATATGAAAAAACATTAATTTAGGACAATCAAATGCAAAATCCCATGGTAGAGGTCACTGAACATGTAACATGTATTTTTCATTGTTTTTACATAGTTTTTTTTCATTCGAATTAATATTTTATGACTTCATTATGAAGTTTATACTGGAATTACATTAAATTATATTATTATTTGTGACTAGGAATACTGTTATCAGTTTGATATATTTAGATTATAATTTATAATAAACTTAGTAGATGTAGAAGATAAACTTCCCTACATCATAAAATAAACAAAATTGAATGTAAAATAATAACAAATTGTTTAATCGTTTGCTAAAATAATTGGTAAATCTGAGTTCAAAATTATTACCTTATCAAATTATAATAAAATTGAATAGTATATTTTATAATAATTGTCATTATACTCGTAATCTATATAGGAACTTGTAACACCTATAAAGTATTATCGGGTAGGTCAAATTTTTGAATTTTGTTAGTAAATTTTTGTTATTTAGGGAGTCATGTTGTACATTCAGGACAATTAAATCACATTCAGAGCCCAACTGACAGCATTTCAACATGCGAGGTGTTCATCAAAGGTAGTAAAAAAAAATACTTTAAAATATGTTCACAGTTTTAAATGTTTGTACAATTTTTTTTTTTTTGTTTAATATTTATATACCTACTTTCAATGATCGTGTAACCCCTACCTACCTCTGACTAAGTAGGTAGACATGTATGTATTATTTTTTACCTACCTTAATATATTTTGTTTACTTAATAGTTAATACTTGCATAACATTTTAAAAAGGTTGAATTAGTTAAATTATAAATGTGTATAAAAAATAATATTTATAAACCACTACTGATGTAGGTAGTAATGTAGTGTACCTACAAATATAAAATTGAAAATAATAACAGGGCTTTTCAGTCATCGATGAACTAGACTACCAAACTAGACGTCCAAAATTGTTTTTGCACCATTCATGTGAAGTTACAAAAATTTCTTTAATTGGATTTTTAAACCGTTAGCTTCATAGTAGCTACCATTCCATATATTATTAAAATAATCATTGAACACTAGTTCAATTCGTTCCTCTAAAAATAGTTATGTCTTTATTAAAAATACAATATATATATTAATGTTAGAGCATGAACTTTTAGTAAGGTACCTACCTATTTTAATTAAGAATCTTATGTTTTAGTAAAAACAAAACATTTAAGTAAGATTGGTATTTTGTTTCTATGTTAGGAAGAACCTAGACAATCTTTTTAGCTAACACAAAGGGTGTGTACAAGTACAATACACTTAGTCCAGTAAGAAATGTTCACTCTGAGGTAGGTATATATAGTCAGAGGTGGATCTAAGAATTTTTACGCCCGGGGAAAATATTAAAATTAAGCCCAATCATAGACCAAGATTGAATATACAAAATCATTCCCTACAATTGTTTTATCATAACTGGAACTAAAATTACAAACATACTTATTAACTTTTAAACACATAATAATATATAGGTAGTAATTAATATATTCTGTGGACTGTGGTGTAACCAAGTTTATACTAATAAACTATCACACATTCACACCAAAAACACTTTAAATTTAAAAACTTAGTTAACATATTGTTGATACATTTTTAATTACTGGAAATACTGCAGTGGTTACTTAATTGTATTTATTATTAGAAATAATAATAATATTAGTTATATATAAATGTTGAAAAATAATCAAAACTTTAATTAGCTACCTATCCTGTATAAAAATTATAAACCCTTTTACTGTTTTGGTTCTATGCGCCTCAGCCTTCAATTATAATAGATTTTTATGGTAAAATATAAAATCTTTTATTCTGATTAGGGTACACAATTTAGGTCAGTAAAAAATTGTACTTAATTAAACAATTTATAATAGAAAAAATGAAAAAGTAAATATTTAAAATCAAATCTTTTTTTTTAAACATAAACAAATGTATAACTATCTCGGTAAATATTATAATATATAATATTATAAACTATATATTAACATCATTTTTAATTTACAGATATAATATACGTATCGTAGGTACGTTGATTGATAATCTTATAACAGTTATTGTGTAGGTATCAGAAATTTTAACGAAAACACAGCATCAATAAAATATGCCTAGGTATAGTTACTAGTTACATTTTCACTCAGAATCTTAATAATTATAGTATATTAGTTGTATATAAATATGCTTGCAGTAGGTATGCTAATGCCAGTATACCAGTATATACTTAGTATAATACTAATACGAATCTATTCATAATACCATTAACTTTATTTTTTTTTTTTCATTAATTCCAACGTCATCACTACAACATCATAAACAAATAATGTGAAATAAAAATGTTTTCTTAACTTCTATCACCAAGCATTAAATAAAGAACTAAAGAAAAATTACGCCCACTAAAATTTTACGCCCGGGGATCAATCCCCGGCTTCACCCCCCTAGTTCCGCCACTGGGTATAGGTACCTACTAAAGTAAAAAATAAAAATAACTGTGTAGAGATCACATTCTATATTAATTTATTGAATTATAATAACATAATAATATTGTTTAATATTAGTTAGGTACCTTTTCCTACTAAATAGTTATTAAATTAAATTAAATTATTTGATAAATGATAAAAAAAAAAAGCGGGCAATTTGAAATGGGCCAATGAGAACGTGGTATACATAAGGAGGTCTGTGGCGTCCTGGGTTTCCTAATACGCGCGTCCCGTTGTATTGACACACTGTCAAACCACGTAGGTATATGGTGTAATATTATTCGACGATATTGACATATTTTGTATTGCTGTCACTAAGTTGTGGCCTTTTTTTATATATTTATAATTATTATAAAATGTTGTATTACTTTTTGGGAGCCCTAATATTACTATTATGTTTCTTTAATCATATTATATTTTGTCACAGTACGTACCTATATTACACATTTCCTATATGTATATCACATTTCACTCAAACTCACATTGACGTATGTTATAGAGATCTCAAATATAAGGGAGTATCTACATTCTACGTCATCTACTTAAATTAGTTATTTAGATTTTAGAATACTTTAATTTTCATTTAAGCTCTGTGATATATTATGTCTATAAGTCAATAGATAATATTATATTTATATAGTACATCATAATTTCTCGAAACTGTTAAGAACAAAAAAAATAAAATCAATTCATTTCAACCTTATTATTTATCAAAGTGCTTACAATTCTTATATTTACATTTTCAAACAATTTATAGTAAAAAAAAAACATATAAATTAGTTTAACACAAAATAAGAGTTCACGGTTGATAAGTTCATATACAAATAAATAATTTATTGCTTACATTCTATAATACTATCGGTTGCAGCTGGTGAGAAATAATTGATGATTGAGAAAATTAGAAAAACCGCTCCAATGCTCATGTAGTAAACAGCATAAATCAAAAACTGTAAATATATAAAAAATGTATTAAGAATAAAATTTAATTTTAAGACTTCTCTTTAACGAATCTTATACGAATAAGTCATCAAGATTTTAACTTTGAAATTTCACATCATATCGTACCACAGAAAATATATTTTCATTCGTTCCGTGGTATTATATAGGTTAGAGATACAGTCATACAGATTATTGATTCATTAAATGTCTGCATAATCTTATAATATTAAAAGTAGTTATAAGTTATAACTATATGTCTATATAGTTCAGACTTTCAGATGTTTTCAAAAAACGATAGGTACTATGTATTGTTGGTACCTAGTACCTACCAAAGTACCAACTAGTAGTGTGCGGAAGACCATATGCTGGAAATAGACTACAAATTAAAATAAAGATACCTACAGTGCAAACTAGTTGTGCACCACTTAAACGACCATAAAAAAGATTTAAAATTATGAATCAGTAAAATATTAATATGATGCCTTTTAACGTAAGTAGGTCCAACCTTTTTAAATCATTTTTGTAAATAGTTGTTAAAGTGGTGCACAATTATTGGTCTGCAGTATAATACATAATATTATTACATGTGCCATGTGACACGTGTAAAAAAAGTCCTCTTATATCTAAACTAATCCTCTGACACCGTTTATTGTTTTATTGAATTGTTTATTTACTTGTTGTATAGTTGAAACCGAGATAATGTGCCCTTGAACGATGCCGTAAGTCATAAGCGTATGTAGGAACAGTGCTATAAATGAGTTAAATCCAAATACGAGACCGTAACTATCTCTGCTTAATCGTTTTGCAACTTCAGATCTATATGACACACGCCGATCGGCCATTTAAATAAATGTACAATTTTTGTTTTATGAAGATATTCAAATATTTACTCGGCGACCGTCAACATCGTTTGGTAAAGACATCCGTAGATTATGTAGAAAGCGTAAATGAACCACAATGTTCTCGTGTAAAAACAACCAAGAAGTACTATTCCAGCGAGTAATGAACCAATTCCTAAGAACAAGTCTCCGACTTTAAACCAATTTAATTCAAGTTGGCCAATTGAATACGCAGCAATAGCCCCTAAAAATATAATTAATTCCAAAATTAAAATCAAATTCAATATAATATTGTTATTTACTGTACAATACACATTTGTTTATATAAAAATTCGTTTCTGTCTCTGTGCGACGGGCAACATATTACGGAAAGAAACATTGTTCTGCAGTTTATTTCTGTTTAATGTCAAGATCCGTGTAAAATCAGTACCTAGTTTATTAGTTATTACTAATCAACAGTTGTCGAATTAAAATGAGAACTTGTAATCAGCTCACGTGTGGGTCGTAAATCAAATTTTTGTTAAGCCTAACCTAACCGACAGTTTAGTTTTCGATGACGGTTGAAGCGTTGGAAAGAGACCTTTTTTTCTCGTTCAGTGGGAGGAAAAGTGGCAATCCCCATAGTGCTGGGTGGTAAAATGGAGAGCCCAAAAAGTGCCGGGTGGTAAAGTGGAAATTCCCAAAAGTGCTGGACGTATCTCCTGCACGACCAGACACTGAAATCTATACCACGGTCTTCACAAAACATTAACTATAATCATATTATATATAACCTCCCTGCACGACCGCGTAACATTTTTATTTCATGAAATTGTTTTCTCGGAATAGTCTGATCGTTGCATAGATCTCTGCATAGTGCATTACTTTTGCCGTGATCGATGTACCGAAAATAGTATGTGTGGCTCGTGCGGGAAAGCAATTTCAGTCTTGGCCGAAATGCGGCACAGGCCTCGTGACTGAAATAGCTCACTGTCCGCCCTTGCCACACAATATAGGTACTATTTCCTTTTTTTGATTTGATACTAAGAGATTTCGTTTGACTTGCAACTCAAACAAATCCATAGTGGTGGAAATACGTATTTTCCATATTGCCTGTAGACGGTAATATAATATAATACGTCGCTGTAGCGTCGCACCACATTTTTATATTCGATAGGTATAACTGTAGTCTGTAATTATTGTACCTACCTATTAAAGTATTAAGTGATTCTGCTGCACCATTGTACAAAGTAAAATGTGTATCCTCGTTTAAGTCTAGCACATAAGTGTACAAAACATTAATGTACGTATAAACCTGAAATGAAAGCATCGAGTGATAATGTGATACTATCGTAAAATTTATATACTGTGGCAAATGTGGCGGCGGGAAGTGAACTATATTAGTTCTCAGTAATGGATCCAGCGGATGGGCGTGGGTTAAGTTAGGTAAGATTCAAGCAGCAAGGACAATAATTAGTTATATTAGTCGTTATATTATATATTTATTTATATTCATGAGGGATGTGCAGCTCTGTGTCAGCTTATAATTATATTGTAACCATATACAAACAATAACTATAAAAAAATTAGAGCTCCGTAAAAAAAAGCCAAAGGCCTATTAGCCCTATCGCCACTCTCGTATTCACCACTAACAGGCCAAGGCTGAATTGTATGTAAGACTGAAATTTCCTTCATACGCGAGCCACACATAATATTGATTGTGACGCCCATCTGTTGTTTCCAGTTTTCCACCACTATCGACATTACGGTAATCTATAGCCTAAATAGGGAATGAACTTGCTGGTTAGGCAGAACGGTATCTAAGGTTACTGTTTCCTAGTTATATATTGCTCCTATACATAGCTGACACAGTGGATCACACAACCTTATACGTGGAAACTGCCCGAACTGCAGGGAGGGCCTCAGAAATGATCTTTGCTCACACTTAGGTACCTAGTGCTCATTCTGAGACGGATTTGCAGGACATTCTCTGTGGTAGGGTTTTCCAAGACCTGCCAGCCAACCACAACGAAAGGGTAGCTATAGGTACTCTATAAGCAGAAGATACATTTAGACATCACCCGTGACTCAAGCCACCCGTGACTGACATAGCTTACTTCCCGCTCTTTCCATATACAAATATAAAATATACAATTGGTTAGTGCATCTACCTGTACATATGCTCCGAAAGCAAAAGCCCACCATAAACAAAGTTTTCTAACATATGGATCTGAATACGATCTTTTGAAATCCTTATGTAAGTATAGTAATACTTGACCCAGACTTTTACCGTCATTTTTATCAATGTCCTTGGTTATCTGAAAAGAAATTTTATAATGTAAATTAAAAATTACTAGGTACCGTGTTTATTGTTTAATGACACTATTAAATATTTTTTTTTAATATAATCATTAGACAGGCCACAAGTAGTACCTACCCATTTATTGTAATATGTATGACATATTGATGGTGCCCTCCTATAACTATATAATAAATATAAATATACAGAGTTTTATATTCAATTTTGTTACCTACCTTTGTTTTCGATTGTTGAGATTCGATATCCTCAGTGGTTTTTGGTTCACCAGTGGAAGACGTGTAATTTTTAATCGTTGGCGGAGGCACATCGGTTGGTTCAGATTTTTCGTTATGAAAATAGACACTATTTTTAACGTTAGGCATAAAATAGGCCCAAATAGTGGAGAAAAACATTCCTTGAAAATTAAATGATTTATATTATATCAACAAATATGTCCAACTAAATTCGTTTAAAAGACTAAAAAGACGAATAAGATATATACCGAATATACTAATGTATACCAATTCGACGTAAGGAACTGAACCATTGACGAGACTGACTAGTTGGGCGAATAAAGAAGAAAAGAACTTGCCCGATAGACAAGCCGCTCTAGCTTGACCCGTGATTCTTTGATAGTAACGTTTATCATCGGTCATGGCGTATAAATAACCAAAATAAGCCACTTCGGATGAGAAGAAGAAACCGTAGAACACTTGGCCAATCTGTAAATTATTTTTCTCATTGCTTTTTATTATTTTAAAATTAAAAATATATATAACGATATTACAAACCTTGAATATCGATGTAAAACACAAAGATCATAATATTATAATATAAAATACAATCGATACCATCTACAACGACATATGGGGTGTAACGATGATGTTAATAATAAGGTTCCGGAAAAATCCAGTTTATTTATATGTGAGTTTATATAACGACATCTGGTTATAATGACGTATTTTTTAGTTATTACGGTCCCTTGGCCGTCTTTGTAGATGATATATACTGACTGTAAATAGCAGCATTATAACTTATAGCTCATAACGATAGTCATAGTATCCACCTACTTATTAAGTATAATTTACCTGCATTCTCAATAGACTCGGATGTCCAACAATACTGCAATATGCCATTACACCACATATCCCGTCCATTATTAACACGGGCTTGTATTTCAGATAATCGGTGATCAGGAACACAATGATGATGAGTACAAAGCACGAGTACGCCCCGACTGCATAAACATCTCTTGACGTCTGTACAAATTGCAGAAATTCGGTGAGCATATAACGTTAGATTCGAGCATCATAATACGGTTCAGAAATAATATCGATGGTTATATTGCAAAAGAGTCTAAGCGAAACTTATATAAATTATAAGGTCAAACACCCATCACCTAATGTGTTTAGATTTAGGTGTTCATGATGCTTAAAAACAGCTCCGACCATTATTTAGCGAACAATTTAAATTTAAATGTTGTGTAATTACGACACTTTTATACTTGGTTCGCTCAAAAAATGGATTTAAAGTTTAAACGACAATAATAAGGAATAAACAATATTATCTATTATTACACATTTTTAAGGGAAAAGCGACGTTTATCAAAATTGAATTTGAATTTTTTTTTTAGAAATTTTTTGTCTACACTTTATTTTGATGAGCATGAGGTATAGGTAACAATTATTGTAAGTATTATATTAATTTTAGGTTATTAAACTTACTATCAACTTATTATTATACGTATTCAAAATTCCGCATCCACGGGACATAATAATCAAAAGCCAATCAAAAATGTATGTTTATATAAAGGACGTACAAATTTTAAAAAAAAGACTACGAAAATAATGGCAAATCATACTACTCCAAATCTTACGTAAAAAATATTATTGCTCATCAAAAAAGTTAAAAAAAAATATAATTAAATGACAACAAAATGTTTTTTGACTCTCCTGAAAACTGAAAAATTTCGAGTTTAGACTATAGTCCCTTTTGACATATTATAACCTTCGGTATACATATTTATCTAAGTTCCCACACGAGGTATGGCAGGTAAAAATCACACAAGGGAATGCATACGTAAGTTCCCACAAGAAAAAAAATTACACCGAATAAAAACTTCCTTCCCACTTTATTCAGACTTAGGACTGACAACTTAAACGTAGTTGGTGTGGTTAAAATTTGTTTGTTTTTGTGTTGCATGAAAAAAAGATGCGAAATAGATAGTTTCATGGCTGAAAAACCAGATAATAATAAAATAAACGAATTTTGCGATTATTTAGTGACTAATTACATCGGAGATACCAGTACGTCCCCCCTAGTATTTGGGCTAGTGCTAGTTCTAATACAAGTCTTATTACTACAAACACATGCGAAAGTACAAATAATATGTGGACCATACCTACATATTATATTAGTAATTTTTATTATATATTTGGACCAACTGCGTTTAAGTTGTCAGTCCTAAGTCTGAATAAATTTTCGTGTGGGAACTTAAGTACGGATGTAATTTTTTTCGTATGGGAACTTACGTACGGGTGTTTTTTTTCCGTGATGGAACTTACATATGTACCCGCTTACCTGCTATGTTTCGCGTGGAAACTTACTAAACCCCATTTATTGTGTATATTGTATATTTTACCTGAGTTAATGTGATGTTTATAGCTGGACTTGTCATGTAAGCCGCGTAAAACGGTTCGATGGGCCTAAATTCTCTGACGAACGCAAACACGCACACGAATAGTGAGATCTTTTTCCATTTCTTCATGATGGTTGTATTGGGGTATCGGAACAAAACGTGTGTATTTACGATCAAGGTTTTTCTAAACGGATATAATATTAGTTCAATGATAATATGGTATAGTACTCATTTTTCGGGGGTATTTTATATCGTATTGAGACTGGCTGTGGCAAATTATCTTGAATTGATTAGCAAGAGCTCAGTCGAGATTAAAAATTCACTCAAGAATTACTGGTATCAGTAATTAAATACATTCATTATTTTTCTGAATAATAAGGATTATTACATTTAAATTAATAAACAAATAATAACAATTAAGTCTTCTGTATTTAATTTGTTTTTATGAATCCACTGCCCGGATAACGGCGTGTTGTTGCTCCATAGACAAACACAATGATTTTTGTTTTAAAAAAATTTCCACTTAATAATTTACAAGTTTCGATTACCCGCATATCATTGTCAACAGGTGTATTAAGTAAAAATGATTTTTAGATATCCTGAGCGCTGATGAATGTCAGAATGTATTAATATTTAATTGTGTTGCGCCGTCAGCACTTACGTTAACAGCAGTTTACTGACGACTCGCGGGTGTGTGGGCGGGAAGGTGATAACTCACAAAATATTACCTCGTACAATTCTTAATGTGTAATGACGCGATATATATATTTTTTACACACTAGTAATCAATGTAGACGCCGTGTACAATTTAACACGCGCTACACCAATAATAATAATAATAATTTGAACAATAAACAATAATAATAATTTAAACAATAGGTAATAATAATAATTTTACAATATGACCTGATCGACACCTCGGGGACAGGTCCACTGGTCAGCACGGTCCTCGCTGGAAATGCGACAGCGTCTTCCTCGTCAACAGCCAAAATCGGCACTGCGGCGCAGTTGAACGACGGCCCAGCGGTGACACGTATAATAATTAATAACTTTGGGGGTGCGCGGTGACTCAATCCGTCAAACTTAGACTGTCTCCAAGTTTACGACGGTATAGACGTGCACCAATTATAATCAAAAATAATAAATAATGACTAATAATGACCACGAGGTCTAAACACAGCCACACGAAGCAACGCGAACCGGCGGTGCGTGATCCGCCAAGTTCGAGCGTAGGTAAGAGACAACAGACAGAGTCCCCGGCACGGGGGCCGTGGACGGTGGACGCCAGCCGGCGTGTGGACACCGTGGAGGGGGAACGACTCTTCGCGAACATTCCGCGCCGGCCACGAGACTTGTAAAGCCTTTGGACTTTTGGTAGATTCGGCGGGAAGTTCAGCCGCGTTCGAACAAATTGTTTAATGATTTGGTGTCTGTTGGGGACAGGTGAAAACGGATAAGTTAGCTGATAAAAATGAAAAACATTATTAATATGAATATAACATTTGTCAACCAGATCCTAACGCAACATGTCAACATTCTGCGTTGAAAACCAATACCGGATACCACTTTCTACATCGAAACATGTTGTTTTGTTATTAAAGTGAGAACATTATCCGATTTTAAAGCATACCACGCTGGTATCCAGACGAATTGACAAAAATGGATGGTCTGGACGGAAAACCACAATTCAATAAGACCCATCCGTTTTCTAAGCACCGTTACAAATGCATTACAAACCATGACTAAATCTATGTATTCATGTTTCAAATGGATAATGTCCCTAAATCGGACTAATTTGTTAAATTTTTAAAATATTATTATAGTATTAATACTTTACAATTTACATAATACATTTTCATATGTGCAAGGGTTTCTCTTTAATGGGCTCACGGTGCCCTTGAGTCATCGCCGGTGCACAGTTTGGGCTCTGCTGGTTTATTCCGTATGTCTAAAATAAAATTTAACACATCCATTACAGTGACCTACTCAATGACGAGGTACCTACATTTTACTCCAACTGTACAGCAGAGTGGTTTTATACATACACAGTTACTCCCATTTTTTATTAAACGATTACAAGAGAACTATACATTACAAACCAAATCGAAAAGCAAGTGTACCTGTTTAGTACCTACATAATATATACCACAATACCAGAGTTATTCAACCTGGGGTTCGCATATCGGTCAGAAATAATTAAACGCTGATGTAGAAAAACATACTTGTATTTATATTAAAAATTAATTCATAGCTAGGCTTATAAAAATGAAAAAGTTAGTTTATAGTATAATTAATTTTCCCCCTCCGCGCAAAACAAACCAAGTCCAAAAATCGATTTTCCAGTTTATTATCACGTAGGTAGAATTAAATTTAAAAATACCTACAATATGCTACTTCAACTATAAGTCCCAATATTATTTAAAGATGCAAAACACACTAAGTCCATGTAAACTATGCAAAAGTCACTAAGTCTGACTTAATAATTTGTATTTGAACTATAATAAGAGATATTATTAATAAATTATTTCATATTATTTATAAGTTATAACCATTCATAAATAATTACTTTGCTTAAAAAAAATCAGTTACAACAAGCAAAAACAAAATTTAGGTACATTTGGCATACATTTAAAGTTTGAAAAAGTTGCTAAAGCTTATTCTCAAAAATCATGTTTTTGGACTTGGGGTGCTTTGCATAAACGGGGACAAAATACATTATAAACTATGAATAATAAAGTAAAAAGTATAAACTACTGTGATATTTGAAATTGGTTTATATTCAAAAGTTTTTTATTATAAGGGGGGTGGTCATGAGGTGACTGGTTTTATTTTTCACATATTTTAAGGGTCACGTTAAAGAGGTTGAGAAATGCTGACATATACCATCTAATATGATATGTATGGATCTTAGTGAGGACCACTGATCTATACGAAACGGGGATGTATTTAAGGGGTAAAAAGCTAGGAGGTAAAATTTTAATGGTGGATTTTTATTGGGCGTACTTTATTTTATAAATATGAGATACACTACCTGTCTACCTAACAAGTAAGAAATAAAATTATTTTTATGTTATAATAAGTATAGTTTCAATATAACTATATTTCTATGTGATAAGTTTTTGAATGTTTGGTTTCCATACATTTTCTTACTGGAATTATAAAATATCATAATTGCAGTCATAATTTATAAGTTCTACTCTTTTTTAAGCATTTGAAGTTCAAATTATGATTAAAACTAGCGATTTTTTCCACAAACGTTGGTTAGGTATTTGTTATTGTTCACAAAATATAATAATTGAAGAAACTTAAATATTTTGGGTATTTTCCACCATTACTCATAGGTATCGTATTCTATCACTAGGTAACATTAAAATTTCATAAGTTGAAATGTAATATTCTAAAAGGAATTGCCTGCATCTAAAAAAAAAGTATGTAGGTAAGTACTTATGTAGTTTTTAAATAAATTATTTCCTTAACCAATTGCCCTATATTAAACGGTAAGGAGTAGGTATACCTACTCAAACGTTATTTGTTTAAATTGTTTATATCCGTGTTTTAATACCTATACACCCATCATCAGAATAAAGCCCTGCTTTAGAGTTTAGATATCAGAAAACAGTCTCTAACGTAATCTATAAGTACTTCAAATTACTGATGAGTGATGACTGTATTTGAAATAATTCTTTAGTTGTCCTATTGTTATCATGGTTTTTCTAGTATTTTAGTTGATGATAGATTAGCGACTTATTTTGTTTTTCTGCCCCATTCTGTGTGAAATATCCGGGAAAAAAATTATAAGCTAAAAAAAAAACTCACTCAACAATGATCGACATACTCTGGTATAGCATAGGTACCATACTACCATACTTTACGTATAGAATCCATATAGATGAACCGATCAAGGTACACTATGGAACGGCTTAATAAGGACGCAAATGTCGCATTGTAAGTGTGGTATGTCGGAAATGCCACTGATCACATTCTTTATATAATTATTAATTATATTCCATTCGAATGGCACTAAGGCATCATCAGTGTTGTAAAGTATTTGAGTAAAAGTATTAAAATACTTTTTTTCCGTATTGAATACGGAAAGTAGTAGTTTTTTATTCTTTTAATTCTTAATTTGTTTCTTCTTATAATTATTCATGTTAAATAAAAACACACGGATATGTACCTATCGGATTATGTCGATTAAATGTTTTTTTTTTCTCCAGGAGACAGTTTATTGTCGACGAAGATCTAAAAGATACATTTGCAGTCTGTATCACTATAATTAGGTTAAGTCAATAACAAAATATATAATATGTAAAAAGCTTCTGCTTATCGGCTATTATATTGTATAGTTTATACTTTATAGTTATTTAACTATACGAAAATAGTATTACTAGCCACTAGGTAATTATTAGTACCTACCTACTACCTATTTACCAAGACAATTTTTATCAATAATTATCATTATCGTTTATCGCCGACGGCGGTATGAGCTATCCAAATACATATTATTATAGTTTTGAATTAATGTATAACTCTGTAGAGAAAAGTTCTTTGTTGTGGTGCAACTAACATGACTGATTAGAATTTTGATTAGGTATTGAACAAATCATGTTTTTAAAATTACATAATCAAATTTTTGATTATTACAAATTATTTTAGCACTAAAAAGTAAAAAAAAATTTTTTTTGTATTTGAAGATTATTTCAAATACTTTACTATTTATACTATTTTGGGTGGTATTTTGAATACATTATTTTAAGAGTATTTGAGTAATTACTTAAAAAACCGCTAATAGTGGGATATTAAATTTCTAACGCTCTGTTTATCACCATAGAAACGAATAAAAAATAATAATAAATATTATAATATAAATTCAACTTAGAGGATATAATAAATAATAACAATATCCAGACTGACAAACCGTCTCCGCTCAGAATCGTTTTTCTTATACAATGATATTATATCATTGAGTTCAAGTTTAATGCAATCCTTTATACATTGACCTAATTGTAACCTACTGTACAGCAGAGCGACATCCATTTACCCACTTTTTTTTTGTTTATTTTTAATTTCTTGTAATTTAAGACTTACATATCAATAGTAATATTGCTCATATATAACTCCGATATAACTCATTAACTATATTGACCCAAAAATTTTAAAAATATAGCAGTATTTTGATTAAAACGTAAGACTGTAATATAATAATATTACAAAAAATATTATACCAATAAAATTAAACAAAAATAAGGGCCAAAATAATATTCTCCAGGGGTGCCACAGAGGGTATAGTTACGGCACTTATTACAGGTATATATTATACTTGTATTATGAGTTATGACGATGGCGTGTTATTGTGAAGTTCAAAAATAACAAATATATCATTTCAAGTTCATACTACGTTTCGAAATTTTAGCTTTATCTCAAGTACTGGTGTAATTTTCCTAAACTAAGCTTAACCTTGATGACTGATGTACCTATGTATTATTTTATAAATACTATACAATTATCTGTCAAAAATGCTTCGACAAGACATTGTTTTAGAACAATAATGTTATGTATAATTGATGATGATGATGACTGGCTGAATCATTATGACTGGCTGAAGTTTAAAAAACCTGTTACATTTGTAAATCCAAGTTACCGATTGTGAAATTTGTATGGCTGTTCAAATGTAAAATACTTCCGAACACGCTAAAACTCAACAAAATAATTTTCAATGTCTACATATCGGTCTTGTTCAAGTTAGCCTTATGATTTTAGGATATCTTAGATAGTTGGATCATTGATTTTGTACTGCATATACTGTTAATATTAGTAAGTTTATTTCATTTTTATCCTAAACTTCTCGATAACGTTTTTTTTTTTTTTTTTGGTTTTTGGTATGGTGAATCACGTCATATTGAGGTGTTGTCAATTAAAATATATGTATAGAAAAATATCAGTTGAACTTTGAACACATTATACAATATTATGTTAACATTAAATTGAATAAAAGAATAATATAAAGAATAAATTAATGTTAAAACCAGTATCAATTAATAGAAATAAAATTAATGATTGACACAACTATTTAATGCTGCAGATTTATTGCCCAATCTCTAATATATAGTTTGAGTTTCGGGTCATTAAAATAAATAAAATATACTGTACATCATGTACATTATGAAGAATAATAACAGTTTTATTTTTACAAATATACATGGTATAATAATAATTAACAATTAAAATAATAATAATAATAATAATAGTAATAATAATAATTGGTATACACATAATGATGTTTTTAGTTAATATACAGAGTAATTTATCAAGCATAATTCCTTTTTTTATCATTAAATAATGAATTTATGATTTTTTAAATTCATAAGCATTCTTAAAGATACTATTTTTAAGTACCCACATAGATTTTATATATCATATAATGACACAAGCTTCTTGAATATTTTGAATCGTCTAAATTAAAATTTGAACAATTATATATTTGCAATAAATTAATATTTATTATTATAATTTTTTAATCATCCCATAAATTAACAATCACATATCTTGCTTATATTTATATCAACATTTAAAAAGAATAATTTCCTTAACAACTAACAATTAAAATGGAGGTTCTTATTTGTAAAAAGTATGTATTGCCCTGTATTTTAAAATATAGACCTTAATTATACTTGAAAATTCTAAAAATAAAAATTTGAATAAATTCATTACCTATTAAAGACAAAAATAGAAGATGGCAATTTTGGTGGACCATCCTGTATAGTTTGAATAAATAATTTACAACTGGTTCATGAATATGAATATAAATATTATATACCTAGTGAATATACTTAATAACACATACGACATACACCATACATTGTTTTCTTAAAATACTTAAGTTATACTTGTATACATAATATTCGTATTAAGTCCATTTGTTCACAAAATGACTTTTGTTCTAGAGAAAAATATAATATCTAGTTCATTAATAGGACGGACACGTTCAGGCTTCAGTTGTATTCTACGATTCCTTCATCTTTGAACATTTTCAAAATAGAAGAACCGAAAAAGAATAACGCTAGTAATGCGTACAACACGGTGTATATCAAAAACTGAAAAATAAAATGATTTTTTAATAGTATTGTATCTTTAATTATCTAAATAATACAGTTTAATACAATTTCATTTAAGATTAACAATTGTCAACAACAAAAATGTATAGGTAGTTCTATCTAAAAAATAAAGTATATTATTTTATTTGTGTATTACTTGTTGTGCTATGTTGATCTTAATAAAATGGCCTTGAATCACTCCATATATAATAATGGTATTAATGCACACAGCAATAAAAGTATTAAATCCAAAAATCAATCCATAACATTTTTTATTTAATCGTTTGGCGACCTCGGACCTGAAAATTAAAATTATCAAACACTTGTATTTAGTTAACTTGAAATTATTCTTTTTAACTTTATTGACCCGCCCGTAGGTAAACCGTGCGTCCGTGTAATGAATTCGAATACCTGCCGGCTGCCATAATATTTTGTCATAGGAAAATCAAATTTTGACCATATTGATTTGAAAGATTTAATTTTAATTAAATAAATATATATGTATAGTTATTAAATAGTAGGTATGACTCAAGTACGGTTTATAATTATTCATATGAAAAGGGAAGATTTCCATTTTTATAACAATTAGCCGATGATATATGTGGTGGTATATTATAATGCCAGGTATTATAATAGTTGTCAGATATCAGAAGATTATGTTTATTATATAGGTAGGAACTTAATGTTTCATAATATTCACAATACACATAAAACATGATTCCTAATGCCTGCTAGAATAATATAATATATATATATATATATATATATATATATATTAGAAGACAGAAGTATTTGTATTTACTGGTATAAGTGTATTACGTATAGGCATACGTCTTTTAACTATTTATGTCAACTAGTTAATAATTTTTGTTTTTAACTTATTAACTTATTCAGTTAAAATTTTTATTATTGTAACTTAACTTTTAGATTCTGAGTGGAACGATGGATGTAATGATTTTACAATGATGTGTTTTTTTTTTTTTTTGTGTCTGTCCTCACCTTATAAGACAGTAAAAGTGCTTGAATTTTATTCAACAGTATCTTTTCTGATAGGAAAGTGAATCTAGTGTCATACCTTTTCAACTAGACAATAGTAATTCTTTGACACTTTTTCGATTTGGTAATTAATTTTTGAATTATATTTTATAATAATCAAATTTTTTATACAGTGTAAAGGTCATGGTAAATATTTGTGTATAACAAAATACTGGGGCAGTTTATGACTTAAACGTATTGTAACTTGAAAAAAATTTACTTTTTTTTAACTGAGTTAAGTTAATTTTATTTCCTATTTTAACTTTTAACTTATCTGGTCAAATTTTTTTTTGTTAACTTTCAACTTAACTGAAGGTAATTTAATTTAATTAACTTAACTTGCTACGGTTAATTATTTTCATTAATTTGCCTACCTTTGCTGGGTACCCATCACCCATGCTATATTTTAAATGGTTGAAAGTCCCATACTATGTTTAACTTAATATCGTAAAACCGTTTTCAAATACACATGAAATAAACTCACTCGGCAATAGTCAACATAGTCTGATACATCATTCCGTAGATGATGTAGAATGCATAGATGTACCACAAGTTTCGGCAGTAAACGCAGCATAATAACACACTGGCTGCGATAATAGATCCAACGGCGAAGAAAATGTCGCCAACTGAATACCAATTCCAATTTACCTTGCTTATAGCGAACGCGGAAAAGGCACCTGAAACAAAATAACCTTATTCAATAAAAGTAATTTTCCTGTATTATATGTAGAAGTAATAGGTACTATATTAATTTTTTATATTCAGAAAAACTCGAATATAGTTTACGTTTGGTAGCGGTGGCTTATAATAGGTATACCTAAGAGAAGGTAAATCGTCATTTGTACAAAACATTTCATTGTAAAGTTATTACGTTTCGACCAGTGATGTTGCTGTGTGAAAATGTATACTCACTATAATGCATTTTTAAATAAATATTTGAAAATGTTCATATAGATGTATCATTGTATCGTATTGATTGAAATGTCTGTCGTTGAGACGTTACAAAACAACATTTTTAGTAAAATGTTATATTTTAAGTTTTTTTTATATATTTGTATGGTAACATACAATTCTAATTGTAGAAAAGCAGAATATTATTTAGATGAATAAAACCAATTTTTGGACAATTAGTTTATTGGTAGTTATACGTATTTACCTCTGCACCACTCCACTCCGATCATCAAAACTTTAAATAGTTATAAGTTATAACTCATAAACTACTCGTTTAAAATTCAATCCAATGTATTGAAGCACTCCAAAAATATTTTTTTTTTTAATAAAGAACTAAAATGCTTGTTGTCATTAAAAATTATAACAATAAAAACAATATTTTGTTTAGAAATGTTTGGTTTTTTAACGGTTTAAAATCATGTACTTAAATAAAATATTTTCAAAAACTTTAATAACTTTATAATTAGAAACAATGAGGGTGTTGTGTTAAAATGATCAGTTGGTTAAGCGGTGTAGCGTCAAACAGTGGAACAGTACGGCCGCGTCAGACGCCGACCTACGTCCAGATGACCGGTAGTGACGCTGCAGGGAAATCGTACCTTTACACACATTTGTTGGAAACGTGTTTCGGAGTAATTATTTTATTTCAGTGCATAAGCATAACAAAATACAATAATAACTCACACATGTATATCAATTTGCCTGGTGGAAGGGTTTAGTTTAATTTTGATTTACTATCGGATTAATTAAAAAAAAAAAAAACAACAAAACCACAACCCGGCGCAGCCGACGTTCTCACTTCTATACGGTCACACAAAACCACCAAAAAATGATTCCGATTGCACCTAGTACATTAATTTATATTACATTTTACTTTACATACCAATGAGCGTGTTGAGGGATTCCGCCGCGCCGTTGTATAGCGTAAACTTCGTATCTTCGTTTTCCTCCAACACGTACGAGTAGAGCACATTTATGTAAGCGTACACCTGTATAATAATGTTTATGATGTTGATGATCATGAGCTACTATATAGTGTAGTATAATATATTATATTACATTATAACATGTATATTGTATATTATGATATATTGTGTATATATAGGTACAGGTGTCGAGCCAATGATGAAATAGCTGGTAGGTATGTGTGTTGCCGAGATACATATTATTTAAGTATGGTGGTGGTCGAATTGCAATTTGCAGCTGCATAGCTGTTGGAGCCCCAGGATAGTGAGGAAAATAAATATTAGGAATCTTATAATCTTTGTAATCTTACATCGTGTTATTCAGGAATCGCCAATTAATATTTTTGGGGGCCACTTTAGAAATTCGGGAAGTTTTTGGAGACAAATTTAATGTTTGTGTTCACCCAAATGAGTACGTCAAAATAAAAAAATTTTAATTAATGAATACCAATTTACTAAAGGTAACGAAACAAAATTTCTTGTCTGCGGGCCTGCAGATAAAGTTTGTCCACGGGCCGCCGTTTGGGTGACGATGACGGTGTAAATAATTAGGTGTTCAAAATGTGGGAAAGTTTTAATTACAATATCATAATTATATGGACTCAATATTTTGTTAAACATCGGAGGTTCCGTGTTATGTATAGGTATGTACTTGAGTTTATTTATTCACACAGGTTTCTATAATATACAATATAGTGTGTATAAAATAAAAGCCTGTGCGGTTATTCGTTCTATAAGATTCTACATAATATATATATAATATACTGACCTGTAAGTAACCACCCATCGCCACTGCCCACCAAAAACAGAGCTTACGGACGTATGGGTCGGAATACGATTGTTTAAAATCTTTGTACAGCGAACTGATCACACTCTCTTCTGGTTCCACGACACTGTTATTTTCGGGGTTGTCGATTTTCTATAGATATACACAATATATGATAACAGTGAATGCAGTTGCCAAGATATTATAATGGGGCGGGGGAGGGGCTTGTATAAAATTTTAGATTTTTGTATCAAAACCTATTCATATAAATGACAATATTAATTACACGGTTATATCTTACATTCTTACGTAATACCAATTACCATTGACTATTGAGTATAGAAAGTACTAAACATACTCAATGGTAATGCCTACGTTTATACTAATCGTTAAATGTTTTCAGTGTTCTATAAACTTTATAGAACACTGAAAGCATTTATACATTTTCCAGAAATTTTGGGGAGGGCTTTACAGTCCTATCAGCAGCCCTGGCTACTCACCTAAGCCACTCATCATTAATAGACAACAATCATTAATCAATACATTTTGGTAGTTATTATAAAAAATATATATTATTTATTTTTATATTATTATGTTATATGCGATGTTTCAGGTTTTAAACAAAACCTGTTTTAGTAATAAATCAACCGTTATTGGAACCTAGGTATGTTATAAAATAAATATTCAGATGAAGTAGGTAGTTAGGTACGCCAACAATTATCAATTACCTATTATTTATTACCATTTAATACTATTAATAGATTCTACACCACTAGGATGCGGCACCGGTGTTTTTTTTATTACCTACACATAGGTACAAGCCACTTCATAACACTTTAATTTTTTCGTAAATCACTCTAATCCCTTATATTACATACCTCCTGATTGGGAGCTGCTTCAATGCTCAGCTGAGAATCTTTATACTTTTGTGGGTTATATATGGTGACGGTGGATTGTCCCATAGATGTTTCTTCGATTTTTTTCTTATTGGGGAAGTAAAGACTATTCTTAACAGGTGGTAAGAAAATCGCCCATATGGTCGTAGATGACATACCTATAAACATAAAACGAAATGTTAGCAAACACAGTGGAAATAATAGGAACATATAGGAAACCCAACCTAACAATTAAGATTAACATTTCCACATAAATAACCTTCTTAGTATTTACTATTTAAGTATATTACAAATTTACACATTATGATAGGTAGTTCATTATTCTATCAAAACAAATTAATAATTCGTTAATTTTTTAATTGCTGAGAAAAGATTTGTAATTATAAATATTAATAGTAGGTAACTATATATTATATTAATAATAGTAATATATATTATGAATTACCTAAGCTAAAGTAAACTAGAAAAAACCTATTCAACCAAAACATCTAAGCAGTAGGTAGTGTATAGCACTGAAATGTACTGCAATTAGTTAGGCATTCCTGCAATAGCAGCCCTTATAAGTAAATAGCCAGATATAGGCGGAAATCGGTTACAATTATGGGGAAGGACGGGTGCTAACCACTTAAAATAAATACCTAAATACGAAAAATAATTGTTACCGTTTCACCATAGATAAAATTACACACTTCTTAAGTTTTCAATTTCTTAATTTTTAATCAAGTAATTACCTATAAAGTAATTAGTAGGTAATTGGAATGAAACAATCTGAATTTTGAAAACTTTAAGAGTGTGTGGTAAATGGGAAATAATAATAATGGAATTCAGTAAAAATGAACACGTGGGTTATTAAGTTAGTTGCCTTTATGACCCTATGTTTTGCACGTACGTTTGGCCAGCCCCCCCCCCAAAGGAAAAACTGTAAACAAACTATACAGATATTTAGCACGTAATTCGCACGAATTCGCACGCCTGGTTTGATAATTCGCACGACCTTCCTTCCCCCTCAAAAATCAAAATCCATGGGGGGGGCCAGCAACACGTCTTGCCAGCCCCCCCCCCATAGTTTAAATCAACATTTTCGCAATTTTTTTTTTGCAGATATTTAGCACGTGATTCGCACGTATTCGCACGCCTAGTTTTGAAATTCGCACGACTCTCCTTCCCCCTCAAAAATCAAAATCCATGGGGGGGGCCAGCAACACGTCTTGCCAGCCCCCCCCCATAGTTTAAATCAACATTTTCGCAATTTTTTTTTTGCAGATATTTAGCACGTGATTCGCACGTATTCGCACGCCTAGTTTTGAAATTCGCACGACTCTCCTTCCCCCTCAAAAATCAAAATCCATGGGGGGGCCAGCAACACGTCTTGCCAGCCCCCCCCCCATAGTTTAAATCAACATTTTCGCAATTTTTTTTTTGCAGATATTTAGCACGTAATTCGCACGAATTCGCACGCCTGGTTTGAAAATTCGCACGACCTTCCTTCCCCTCCAAAAACAATAAAATCATTTTTTGTCAAGAGGAATTTTTTATTCAATCAAGATATTTTCCATTGTACTTAGAATATTTTCTTATTAAATACAGTTGTCTATTAAGTTTTTTATTTAATATGGATTGTATATTAAAAATAGATTTTTTTTATTAACTGCAGGTATTTTACTAAAGTTTTTTTTATACATTTTTTATTCAACTAAGCTTTTTTTTAGGTTATACGCAATATTGTAATTAAATATTTTTCCAAGCTCACCATTATAATCTTGATTGAATAAAAAAGCCTAGTTGAATAAAAAATCTATAAAAAAACCTGAGTAAATTACATTTAGTTAATAAAAAAAAATCAATTTTTAATAAATAATCTATTTTAAATAAAAATCTATATTTGATTAATGAATCTATATTAAACAAAAAAACCATGATAAAAAATTGTATTCAATAAAAATAATCTAAGTAGAATAGAAAAAAATTGTATTAAATAAAAAAAGCCTAGGTGATTAAAAAATCTATAAAAAAAGCCTGAGTTAATCACCTATAGTGAATAAAAAATAATTTATTTTTAATAAATAATCTAAAATAAATAAAAAACATTTAGTATTCAACAAGATTTTTTTCCATTGTACCTACGTCCTACTTAGATTAGTTTTTTATTAAATACGGTTGTCTATTAAGTTTTTTATATGATATTGTTTTTTTTTTATAAAATATAGATTTTCTCTAGATCGGAAGTCTTTAATATTACGGTTATAATGGAAAAAAATCTTGTTGAATACTAAATGTTTTTTATTTATTTTAGATTGTTTATTAAAAATTAATTATTTTTTATTCACTATAGGTGATTAACTCAGGCTTATTTTTATAGATTTTTTAATCACCTAGGCTTTTTTATTTAATACAATTTTTTTCTATTCTACTTAGATTATTTTTATTGAATACAATTTTTTATCATGGTTTTTTTGTTTAATATAGATTCATTAATCAAATATAGATTTTTATTTAAAATAGATTATTTATTAAAAATTGATTGTTTTTTTATTAACTATAAGCATTCTACGAAGGATTTTTTTTAGATTTTGTATACAATCAAATTTTTTATTAAAAATTAGATTATATTTTATTCAACATAGATTTTTTATTAAGGTTTCTTGTCAAGATAGACTTTTTATTAGATTAAGATTTTTTCTATTCTACATACGTTATTTGTTTTATTGAATACAGTTTTTATTTATTATAGATTGTTTATTAAAAATTGATTTTTTTTTATTAACTAAATGTAATTTACTCAGGTTTTTTTATAGATTTTTTATTCAACTAGGCTTTTTTATTCAATCAAGATTATAATGGTAAGCTTGGAAAAATATTTAATTACAATATTGCGTATAACCTAAAAAAAAGCTTAGTTGAATAAATAATGTATAAAAAAAACTTTAGTAAAATACCTGCAGTTAATAAAAAAAATCTATTTTTAATATACAATCCATATTAAATAAAAAACTTAATAGACAACTGTATTTAATAAGAAAATATTCTAAGTACAATGGAAAATATCTTGATTGAATAAAAAATTCCTCTTGACAAAAAATGATTTTATTGTTTTTGGAGGGGAGGAAGGTCGTGCGAATTTTCAAACCGGGCGTGCGAATTCGTGCGAATTACGTGCTAAATGTCTGCAGAAGAAAATTTGCGAAAATGTTAATTTGGATCTCCGGGGGGGCTGGCGAAACGTTTTGCCAGCCCCCCCCCATGAATTTTTGTTTTTCTAGGGGAAGGAAGGTCGTGCGAATTTTCAAACCAGGCGTGCGAATTCGTGCGAATTACGTGCTAAATGTCTGCAGAAGAAAATTTGCGAAAATGTTAATTTGGACCTCCGGGGGGGCTGGCGAAACGTTTTGCCAGCCCCCCCCCCATGAATTTTTGTTTTTCTAGGGGAAGGAAGGTCGTGCGAATTTTCAAACCAGGCGTGCGAATTCGTGCGAATTACGTGCTAAATATCTGCAAAAAAAAAATTGCGAAAATGTTGATTTAAACTATGGGGGAGGGCTGGCAAGACGTGTTGCTGGCCCCCCCCCCATGGATTTTGATTTTTGAGGGGGAAGGAGAGTCGTGCGAATTTCAAAACTAGGCGTGCGAATACGTGCGAATCACGTGCTAAATATCTGCAAAAAAAAAATTGCGAAAATGTTGATTTAAACTATGGGGGGGGCTGGCAAGACGTGTTGCTGGCCCCCCCCATGGATTTTGATTTTTGAGGGGGAAGGAGAGTCGTGCGAATTTCAAAACTAGGCGTGCGAATACGTGCGAATTACGTGCTAAATATCGGCGCAATTCATTTATGGATTTTCCATTGGGGGGGCTGGTCAAACGTACGTATGTTTTGCGCCTTTAAGTTTGTTAATGAAAGTGTGTAACCGTAATAAACTTTTAATTTTTAAAGTAGAGCCTATATTTAATGAATTATATACAATGTATAGAGTTCAGTCGTTATCTTCTACGAAATATCAGTGATATACCAGTGGATCTCATATTTCGTTCATTATTTGTACATAATTTATAGCCCCCAGTAATCGTAAATGCATAACTAAATTTGCACTATATTAATATATTAAATAAATTAAATGAACTAGGTAATCAAATGTTAATCGAACTTACTAAAACTAGTAAAACTTATGAACTATTTAAAAAAATATTTTATAGTATATTATTTAGATAAGTGTAGTATATAAGTAATGCATACCTATTACCTATACGATACACCTATTACAGTATTACCTCTATACCTAAATATAAAATTATCAACTACAGGGGATGCGAGGACCAAGAATATACTTAGATTATAATATGATAGTATTAAAATTAGCCTAGGTTTTTTTAAAATCAAAAACACTACGTATTTACCATAAATAAATATATGTCTGAAAGATGGACCATAATGTACTCTATAGTTATATTTAAATTCGTAAAAATAACTAACGTGACTATATATTATTTTAATTTTGTTTAGCAAAAATGTGTGCAAATGTGTAGAACAAATTGAAACCACACTAGTATTACAATTTATTATTTAATATGCTAATATACTAACTGATATTATAATATATTATTCATATATTCATATAGGTATTCATAATATATTCTAATTTGTTGTAATGTCATTTTATTTTAATACTGTTGTATTGTTATAGATAAAGGAAATAAATGGTATGAATAAACTAAATAATTATTTTTTGAAAAATCTTTTCCACCAATAATGAAGCATTAAACAATTAACAGTAAGTAATAATATATAGTTATTTAGTTATATTTTTACCTACTGCGGGCCAAAATACTTAAATTGTCAACTTTTAGTAATTTACATAATTTAATTTTGTCATTTGTATATGTTTTGTGCTAAAATATTTTTACACACAATTTGACATGATTGAAAATTATTTTATGATTAGGTTTGCCCTTTTTTTCTGTTTAAACCGACGACGCCGAGGGAATTGCTTTCGCATTACTTCCGCGATTAGGTTTACGTTTACCTACCTTACTCGTATATTACCTTTTATTTGTATTGTATTGGAGTTATTTGTTGTCATTAGGTAAACAATCAAACTTATTTAAGGATGCTTAGTCTATTTTAAATTGTCATATATGTAGAGCTCTATAGTGGACAATACCTTATGCCTACCTAAAATTTAAATACTATTTTAAACAGTTTTTTATTGAAAATCCTAATTCTTTAATACTAATATACTTTACATACTGAAAAACAGCATTTATTTTTCTGATTCCTACAGTTGACATGGTAACGATTTCGTGTCACAGTAGCAATGGCACCCAGTGAAAGATTTACGGGGGGGGTCCAGGGGTCTAATATATTTGAAATACATATTAATTTTTAGGACCCCCCCTAGAAAAATTTTGAAATCCACCACTGATGGCGCATTGGCGCCCAAACATTAAAAAATAAATAAATAGTATTATGTTAACCACATTTGCAATATTATATCGCCGTCCCGGTAGAACAATGACGCAACTGCAATAATTGCAATTTTACAGGAAACCCAAAAAACTAAATTATTTATGAGTGTACAAACTGACAATTACGCAACGACGCAATTGCTTTCTGGCGGTCTAAAATACAACTACAGTTCCGTCGTTTTTCTACATTATGCGTACGCTATATTTAAACTCATTGTAGCATTTAGGCCATTTATACCAAATTTTGCAGTTGCGTCATTGTTCTACCGGAACGGCGATATGTGATAAACAATATTATTATTTGTTTACTCCATATGACCATATTTATTACATTAGAACAGAGATCACCAAAAACAAATATAAGATTCAATGATCTGCAGTGAAGCGGACAAAATATCAAGTTTTTATATACAGGGTGTCCCGTGAGGATTTACTCATTGCGATATCTCCTGAAATAATGGAGATATCGTAATTATGTTTTTTTATTAAGACTCGCAGAAGTAAGCACTACAAATATTTTATTTTTTAATCAAATTAAATTTTTTAGTAAAAAAGTTAAAAAAATTATTTTTTATTTTTTATTTTTGAAAAAATTGAAGATAGCTATTCTATAGAGTATATTTTTGTGAACATTTTGAGCTTTTAAAATTTTATTTTCATTAATCTCATGATTTTTAATAATTTTTTTAGTTTATTAGTAAAACGTCAATAAACTGGTTTTTGTCCGGGCGGCGAGTCCCCCTCTACGGCTAATGAGTAAATCCTCACGGGACACCCTGTATTTAATTTTTATTTCATATTTTTATTTGACAGGTACAGTGTACTAATCAATTTGAATATAATAAAAATAATGAAGTTTCAAACGTTGTAACGTTATAAAATGTGTTAATATATAATTTTAATTTTTTTTTAAACACACAAATGCTTTACCTATGTACTAATAAACTATAATTTTTATGTTCATATACTCATTGATTTTATGATGTTCATCGTACCTTTATCTATAATATACACTATAATATTATAATATATGATCGACAGATTCATTTTCATACATTCAAAACGTTTACTATAATCGAATGAATCTATCGACATATGTGTAAACGAAATTGATATATTTACCGAAAATAGACATATAAACGAGAGCGTTGAACGGAGGAGTTCCAAAAGTGGTGGCTAGAATTTGGGACAAACACGATGAAAAGAATTTTCCCGTCAATGTTGCAGCTCTCGCGTGACCAGTTATTTTTTGATAAAATTCTTTTTCTTCCACCATTGCATATAAGTATCCAAACAAAGCAACTTCAGCGGAAAAAAAGAAGCCATAGAACGCCTGTCCAACCTGTAAAAAAAAAACATTTTCGTTATTGACCAGATTTATTTTTATAATAAAAAAAAAAAATTATATTAATAAATTATATATACTAATCAAAGATATCATTCCGTTGTGGTAATCAGCCGAATCACTACCAGCTATTAAGAGGACGTGTCACCCAAAAAAATCACTCGAAAAATTCCTTTAAAAACATGTTTGCGCGTTCCAATAATATGGGTTACTGAGTGGTTTTGTCATAAAAACACCTATGAACAAAATTGTAGAGGAGAATTTTATCTGGTTCCGTAAGAAGCCCGATTTTTGAAATTTTCATTTCTAAGTCCTAAAATTAACTTCCGGAAAATGAAAAAAAGTGTATTATTAATCATAATATATTTCATGATGTTTTAAAGATATCAAAAATCGGGCTTCTTACGGAACCAGATAAAATTCTCCTCTACAATTTTGTTCATAGGTGTTTTTACGATTAAACCACTCAGTAACCCATATTATTGGAACGCGCAAAGTATGTTTTATAAGAAAACTGCAGAAAATTACGCTCGGCAAGTGCTGCGCCCGTAGTCAGTGGCAGCGTTCGATACTAGCTGTGCATACCACCACCCCGCGCGCATTAACGGCGGTACCGCACCATGGTCAAAACAGGTTCTCTATCGCAGCCGACCGCCCGTGCATAGTTTATAAATAACCAGATAAGAAAATGATTATTATATTTGTGACAATTATTATTTAATTTGGTTCGATTTTATATTTTGTATTCGTATCCGAATTTTATACAAATAAAAACTATACTTTTGTTCTTCAAGTAGGTAATAGTGTAATACGGCTTATTGAAGTGGTTTACAATAAAAATACCTATTATAAAAATTGTAGAGGAGAATTTTTTTAACAATCGTAAGGAATCCGATTTTTGATATCGTATTCCAATCGTCCAATATCGCATGATAAATTAACAATTTTTATTTTTATTTTTTTATCGATTAATTATTTAATTCATTAATAAAAATATAAAAAAATCGGGCTTATTTCGATTATTAAATAAATTCTTCTCTCCAACATTTATAATAGGTATTTTTACTGTAAACTGCTTCAATAAGCCGTATTACTTGAATTACGAAACCATATTTTGTTCACTAGGCCGAACTCTTCTTATCCGAATTTTATACAAATAAAAACTACTTTCGTTCTTCAATTAATACGGCCTATTGAAGAGGTTTACAGTAAAAATACCTATTATAAAAGTGGTAGAGGAAAATTTTTTTAACAATCGTAATAAATCCGATTTTTGATATCGTATTCCAATCGTCCAATATCGCATGGTAAATTAACATTTTTTTTTTTTACTTTTTATCGATTAATTATTTAACTTATTAATAAAAATATAAAAAATCGAGCTTATTTCAGTTGTTGAAAAAATTCTTCTCTAAAACTTTTATAATAGGTAGTTTTGCTGTAAACTATTTAAATAAGCCGTATTACTTGAATTATCAAACAATTTGGGTATGATAAAAAAAAGAAATAGGTAGGTACCTACTCAAAAAACCATTTATAACAATTAACATCAGTTCCGCACGGCAAGTCGTCCGTAGCACACGTCTGTTGACCGTCGTGCACGTACACTATCGCCTTTCGCTTATCGCTTCATTAAAATTAAAATTAATGACCACTAAATCGAACCGTATCATTCAGTATAATTATCATCGTTTTCCGTATATTTCCACACGCTAAAACAAAAACACAACCTAATCCGAAACCACCGCCGTTAAATCGGCCGTAGGCCGTTACCTGCAACTTATTAATTACTGCATCATGCAACGAAACAACTCAGACACTAATAAACTTAAAAACAAACCGAAATTATCTCCGGTAATTATCACAAAAACTATTTCTCACAAGACGCAGGACGCAACTTCTCCGTCTGCCACCTCAGATAACGACCAAGAATGGATTGCTGCCGACAACAACAAACGCATTAGGTCACCTAATAACACTACGTCACCTCGCTCAAAAAAAACAAACGAGCCGTCAAATTTCTCATCACCAAATCGCTATTCTCTACTCGACATCGACGAAGTTAATATGGATCTGGATTCTAACACAGAAGTCAACGAATCACCTCCATCACCACCTCCTCCTCCACCAATTTTCTTAACATCTCCGATTAATTTCATTACTCTATGTAAAAACCTGGAAAAAATAACGAAAACCGAGGGTTTCCTTTGCAAGTCCAACTCAAAAAATATAAAGATAAACCTACACTCAGCCAGTTCTTACCGTGCCGCTATAACATTGTTCAACGAGAACAAACTTGAATACCACACGTACCAGACACACGAAGAAAAATCTTACAGAGTCGTTATTAGAAATCTGCACCATACAATCCCTACTGATTACATTAAAGAAGAAATTGAAAAACATGGTTTTATGGTAAAAAACGTCACTAACATCCTAAAATCTCAATCAAAAGAACCTCTTCCACTATTCTTTGTAGACCTAAACCCATCTCCAAACAACCAAGACATCTTCAAGATAAGTAATATATGTTTCACTAAAGTAAAATTCGAAGCCCCACACATCAGACGAGATCTAGTCCAATGCCATCGTTGTCAACAGTACGGCCATACTAAATCATATTGCAATCACCAGCCTAAATGCGTCCGATGCGGCGAAAACCATACCTCGGATCAATGCTCCAAATCCAAGGACCTACCTGCAAAATGCGCACTTTGCAGCAAGGCCCACCCGGCAAACTACAGAGGATGCACTGTCCACAAAGACCTCCAACGTTTCCGTAAAAAACAACAACCGATCACCATCTCAAGACCGACAACAGAAAATTTCGACACACCTCAAGTCCAACCCAACAGCCAAGTCCAATCCAACAACCAACCTCCTCCAGGAGCACCACATTTGATCAATGCTCCCACAAGATCTCTAAATGAACCCAGCGACACCCAGCACCTATCATTCTCTCAAGCGGTTAAAGGTAATAAATCAAATAAGTTAAAATCAAACCACATAAACGACCCACCCTCCGACCAACTATTCACAAGCCAACTTACAACTTTCATATCCGAGTTTAAATCTCTAATCTCTCCCCTCATAACACTTCTTAATCCCCTAATAACCCTTCTTACCTCACTAATAAATAAATTAAGTACCAACCATGGAAACTAACTTTAAATTTAGATTGCTCACATGGAACGCAAACGGCATTACCCCCCATAAACTTGAACTGCAGGCATCCCTCAATATTCATAACATAGACATAGCAATGATATCCGAATCTCACCTAACCCCAACAAAGTCTATTAAAATTCTTGGATACAAAGTTTATCAAAGTAATCACCCTGACTCCACTGCCCACGCTGGATCGGTGATCCTAGTTAAAAATAATCTATCCCACTCCCTTCTTCCTTTTATAAGTGAAACATATCTCCAAGCAACAAGTGTCCAAGTTTCTGTCAACAAACATTTTAATCTGTCTTTCTCCTCCATCTACTGCCCTCCAGGACCTAAAATTAACTCTAACAATTTCAAAAATTACTTCGAATCTCTAGGTAAGCACTTCATTGTCGCCGGAGACATTAATGCCAAACACTCTTCTTGGGGTTGCCACTCAACCAACCCTAGAGGCAGAGTCCTTTATAACTCAACAAATAACTCGAACATAAAAATATTACCACCCTCTAACCCCACCTATTGGCCAACACATCAAAACCGTCGCCCAGATATCCTGGATATCTTCATCGCAAGAATACCAAGTAACTGCACTACTAATATCTCCAACACAAACGACCTGTCATCCGACCACTCACCAATCATACTCGACCTCGAAATTCCCTGTTCAAACTCTTCCACAAATCCTCAAAATCTTGGAAAAATAGATTGGCCTACCTTCCAACAACTCATTGAGACTCGCACACTACTCAACCATTCCTTAAAATCAAGCGAAGACATTGACAGCACTATCCAAAAGCTCACTTCAGATATCCAGGAATGCATTCACCTAGCAACAACTCAAATCACAATTTACCCTAATAACCTACTTCCAAATCATATAAAACATCTTCTCCGTGAAAAACGAAAAGCAAGATCCCGGTGGCAAAGGCACAAATACCCCATCGACAAACACACCTACAACCAACTAAATAATAAACTAAGGAAAGCACTCCAACATCACAACTCCTTCACCTATCAACAATTTATCCAAAACCTAACAACTCATAACTCTTGTCTCTGGAAAACGACCAAAAAAATCCTAAAAACTATCTCAACTTCCTCTCCCCTCCGTAAAGAAGATAACTCATGGGTGGTTTCTGACACAGAAAAAGCAAACCTATTTGGCCAACATCTATCCCAAACCTTTACCCCTCATGACATAACTCTAAATCCCACTCAAAGCCAAATTGTCACACATTCCTTAGAGTCTGCATTACCCGTCTCACTACCAGCCAAACACACAAGTCCCGGTGAAATCGAATTCATTATAAAAAAACTCCATAACAGAAAAGCCCCTGGGTTTGACCAAATTACAAATCGTATTGCCAAAAACCTACCCAAAAAAGTAATCATATTACTTTCCTATATATATAACGCAATGCTGCGTTTATCCTATTTCCCCCTTACCTGGAAATTCTCAGAGATAATAATGATCCCAAAACCCCACAAACCTCCTGAAAAAGTAACCTCTTATCGCCCTATAAGTCTACTCCCAACATTATCTAAAGTATTCGAAAAAATCCTATTAAAGAGACTCATACCACTAGCTATTTCGGCAAAAATTATCCCCGACACTCAATTTGGATTCAGACCCAATCACTCTACCATTCATCAACTCCACAGAGTAGTAGACACTATCTCAGTTTCTCTAGAGAAAAAACATTACTGCGCTGCAGTCTTTCTAGACGTCGCACAAGCATTTGATAGGGTATGGTTTGATGGCCTACTATTCAAACTTAAAAAATTTCTGCCTGCGCCTTACTTCCTATTGGTTAAATCATATTTGA